TTTAAAATAGATTATACATTGCTTGCAGCTGTAAGTACTGCTTGTACTTACCCAAGCAAAGGCTGACTTCAGTCAGAAAGATGAGCTTGATAGCTTTCTTTAATTAATTTGTTAATAAAAGAAAAATAAAGCAGATGAAAGAAGCCAGCTCAAGAACTTAGAAGTACTCCAAGAATTTAATACTTACGGTCTGGGCCTCGTAAGTACAAGCATTAGAGTAAATTTATTTCCATGTGTGAAAATCAATGGTCTTTGTCATTGTAATTAAAACTACTTAAAAGTATAACTATTTTCATTAGGAGATGTTTTGTCTGCTTGTTTCAGTAAGAGTTATGCCACTGGCAAACAAATTCTCATGCAGCACATAAGTTATACAGTCTTTACCTATAGTGCTTGATGAACAGGGATTCCTAAACACACCCATCATTTTCTAGTTTCCTATCTCAGGAGGTGAAGCTGGATGGTCAGCACTGAGGGCAATTTGTTGCCTTTTGTTGCCTTCAGTCTATTAATGATAGATTTTGGTGTTGTACTGGGTTCTTTTTTACTTAATTATTAAGGTGCATTGTCTTGGGGCTATTTGAAGCTGAAAAACAGGACTAAAATACAGAAACAAAACCAGGCTAAGTCTTGTCAGTGTCAGCAAATAAATAGCATTAATCTGTCTTCATTACTGCCGTGCATAGTGTAATGCAAGAGTCCACCAGGTGGGAAGAGGCGTAATATCTTTTAACCACTCTATGAGAGGTACGAATTAAGCTGAAACTCAAACAGAGAAGTCTTCTTTGACTGGCAAAGAATAGTGATAGTCATTTTGTCTTCAGGAGCTTTTTGACATCTTTCCATTAGGATACTGAGACTGTGCAGAGCTGTCTGACCTGAGCTGTCATCACCAGTTCTCAATGGGAGGTGCCTCGCTGCCATTTGTGGCTTTGGAAACTCTGCCTTTTCTGTACGCTGTAGTGGGTTCTTATTCCAGCTGGAGTTGTGTCTCTTTCCTGCTTTATTATTTAAAAGTATGAAGTTTTAATTAGCACATAGTTACAGTTTAGAGTGTTTTAAAATATGTCATATCCTTAGAGGCATTCCGCAAATGGATGTTTGCTTCATCCACCCTCACCTCGAAAATGAGTTATCCAAGCAATCTGTGCTAAATGTGTTTAAGAATAAGGATTGGACACACACAACAAGATTATGTGGCAGTGTAAATCAGAACTGTGAAATTCACTTCAGTAATTTACATTATCTGTGGATCTGGACTATTAATTACTGGAAGCCTACCTTTTTAAAAGCAATTTTTTAGTCACTTTGACATCTAACCATCTGGCTTCAGTTTCCCCTGGTATGCACTTTCAGGCATGAATATTAGGAAGCGTTGCTTAAATATGTAGATAACCTAGGCAGCATGCAGGAGATGGCTATGTATTACTGTTAAGAATTTAACTGATGGGATAAGAAAGGGATGCTGGCTGGTGTGAGCATGTACTGCAGCAGCTAGTTCCCTTGTGGTGACAACAGGAGAGGTTCTTTATGGAGCGCTTATGAGCCTGGCCACTTTTGCCAGTTCGTTCCTCTGGTACATCTTTGCAAAGCATAGGTGTGATGTATTTTGGGAAAAATAATGGCTATTGCAGCACTATCCACACAAAGTGTATGTCGTGGCCTATTTGCAATTATTTTGTTAAAGATGTTTTCGTACCTATTTGTCACAGGTTTCTATGCCTTTTCTATATGTGCATGCATTGGTGTTACCTCTCACCCTGAGTATGATCACAGATCGTAGCTCTGGCACTGCTGGGTCTATTATTCCCAGCACAGAGGACTAGCCCTCTTTGTCTTGCTACAGCTTCATCTTAGGAGGCTGAATCAGCATCCTCACCCTGCAGAGCTGATAGTACAGAGTATCACGAAGTCAAATAAGAAACTGTAGACTGGGCTGTGAACCCACAGGGATCTGGGCTACTTTTAACAGGCTGCTTATTTGGAACAGGAGAGCTCCTCAAGCCCAGACTGAGATTCATAGCATATCCTTTCATACAGTTCCTACACACATGGACTGTAATTTTCTTTCATACCAGAGAACAATCTCATCTATAAAGTAAGATCAAATGCTTGGAGACAGTTCTGCTCCCCTGAGGGATATGATTTTACCCAGCACAATATTTCCTGAGGCAGCTGAGTTATTGGCTGCATATATACTATATGCTGCTGCAGAATGAAAGCCTCTGTAAAATAGCCTTTAATTGTCACCTTGTTTTGTTGTTACTGTATCTTTGTGTATGCATTTAGAAGGGGGTTCAGGATACAGAATAGCTTTGATACCTGAAAGAGCTTTGGACCTGTCCACTTTTTTTTCCTTTAGTCCTGCTAAAATTTCTCCATTCATCAGATGTGGAGACAACCATAGAATCACAGAATAGTTAGGGTTGGAAAAGACCTTAATATCATTCAATTCCAGCCCGCTGCCATGGGTAAGGGTGCCTCACCCTAGACCATATCACCCAAGGCTCTGTCCAGTCTATGGTGCTGGCAGGGGTATATGCTCCTCCACCCTTATAGTACTCGGTCACTGCCTCCTCCTGTCTCCCCAGCTGCCAGTCAGGAGTGTACTCTTGTCATCAAAATGCCCTACTGTTCTCTGCTACCCCAGCTTCATGAGTGTCCCTACTTTTGTTGATAAAGCCTGAAGATAAATCATTTAATTAAGAGTTGAGGGACGTTTTGAACATGTTGCTAATAAAAAAACCTGCAAAGTTTTTGCAGTAGCTTTGGGTTTGTAACATTTCTGACAACTCAGTTAGACTTAACTGTTTCATCAAAAGTAATAATTTGTAAATGGTTAAATTTAAGTTCCTTAAGACCTTTCTTAGAGAATGTATTTCCTAATGGCACTGTAATTTTTCTCTCTCTCCAGTTTAAAACTGAGTTTCAGTAGCTTAGATTTTTACATATATTTTATTAACTCAGCAAAAGAGATGTACCTTTGTATGAAGAAAAATATCTTGGATCCCATTAAGGCCCTCTTCACCCCCAAAACCTGTGACAGTGCTGAGAATTCTCTGGTCTTGATGTGTGTGTCTGAATTTCCCAGCTTGTGTGTATTTAACAATGTGTATTTAACAAAACCCATCATCGGCCAATTGGAAGTCTCATTTTCGAGGACCATTGAACACTGAACATTTCCAGTGAGCTGCAATTACAGGAACAATTGGGCTGAATAACTTTGGACTGATGGGGTGTGAACATCAGTCCTCCCAACTTCCCCTTTCTTGTTTTGGTTGGAGTCTGACAGTGCATGAGGTTACAGTAGGAATATTTTGGGGAGTGTCGATGTGCTTCAGAAACTCTGGCATTTCTTGATCTGTGTGTGAATTACACTTGGATTAATTACACTTGGTTTATGACTCTATAGGCTGAATATCCTCATGTTTGCAGTTGTATTTTGTTGTTGAGAAGAAAAAGGGCATGGTGCATTTTGCTGAAGGTGAAGCATCTTCAACTCCCCTCACATAATTCTAATTCCACTTTCAGTCATAGAAGCATAAGCCAGGAAGTGGAGCAGGTTTCACATGTTTCCATAGTGCTGGACGTACGTCAGGTGTATGAGGCACTTAACCTAAGGCAAATTATAGACTGAATTAGAAAATCTACATTATTAACCTTGTGGTTTGCTATTTTGCATTCTTTTTTCTGGCCCAGTGGAAAGAGTTTATATATATATATATAAATATATTATAGTGAGACTGAAGAGCTCAACCCCCCTTAAGAAACCTACAAAGCACATAAATAACATTAACTTTTTGCTAATTTACTAGAGACTGGTAAATTGATACCTGGTGCCAACACATGGGTTGTGCTCTCATGTGTCACACGGGTCACCAATGTCAGTGTCCTCAAGGTTACCAAGTCCAATTATTAGAAGTCAGCACTCTGCCTCCATGTACTTTATACAGGTCTTGTTCTTGTCTCCGCTAGCTCTCTGCATCAAGTGCCACACACTGATCTCGACATAAATTTTCGCATGTGATGATTCTTTTCAAATGCATGTGAAGTGATTTCAAATCATGGAAGAGCCTATACATGGTACAGGGTGTCTTTCCTTGCTGGCTGCACCTGAGTGAGGTAAAAAAGCTGCATAGTTGGGCTATATGCTTGCTTGTTTTGCCACACTTGCAGCTAACCCACGTCAGGGTGGCTACCCAACAGAAAATACAATGCAAACATTGCCTAACCTCTGCAGGCAGCCAAATTATCTGTGGTTTAGAACTGCAAGCCTGTTATCTACAGTGAGCACAGAACAGACTTAAAATATTTGCTATGTAGTATGTAATTGATATGTAAAATGTAATCATTGAAACCAGCTATATAAACAGAAGGTAATTCAGTAGCTTTAGCAGGTACTTCTCCAATCCTACTCAAGCACAGATGGAAATGCAGACTAAATTGTGTAAACCAAACCTCCATGAAGTAATACATAAATGATGATGTATTGTGACAAGAGAGTTAACAAAGTGGAAGCACGAACATCTGTCTCTTGCATACGGATTGGCAGGTACAGTGAAGACTTGAGGTACATGAAGGCTTATAGAGAAACTAGCAGAATATTCCTGTGTAAAGCCTCTCCTTAGTCCAATTTCTAAAATTACTTTTTCCACTGTTCTAACAGGATGAACTGACTGAGAAGAAAAAAAGGTAGTTTCTTATATGCTTGTCTGGCAGTACAGGGTGTTTATATTCTGCTCACGAAATGGAAATGGGTATGATTCAAATTTAAGATGTCTAGAAGTAAGAATTGGAAGGTCCATAGGGAAAAGAGTGAAAGAATGCAAAAAGGGAATCTGTCATTCTAATAAGAAATATTTAATTAATAAACATATTACATTTGGATATGTTGTATAATCAATTATTAGAAGACCTAAACCCAATATGTGGTAAAGAGGTGTTCTATGTTCTTTGCTTTGCTTTATTTTTCCTACTTTCGTATGTGCATATGGTGGTAGCAAGCTCCAGCCAGTCAAGGATTACATTTAAAACGAATGGATAACACTTGTAAGGGTTCTGATGGAAGAGATGTTAAACTCAATAAAATAGTAATTTATTTTGTTGGGCTAAATTTTTGTTATCATGCTTGAATGTTATTGCATTCTTTGAAAAAACATCATATGTTAAAGGTTTGCACTTAGAGGTCTTCCAAACTCAGAACAAGTAATTTAAGTAGTGTCCACAATTATAACATGTTTTTACAACAGGTAATCATTGTACCCTTTATCACACTTCTGCTGTCCCTTTCTCTTATGTTCTCAGGCAAAACGCAAGGGAGGTGAGGAGATTTTTCTTAGCAACATGAACATAGTAAGATTCTCTCTGACTGTAAGCACTTCTGTTTTAGTTCATCTTCAGGTCATGCTAAGACAACAGTCAGGTGAGCTTACTGTGAAAAACATCCAACTTCCCTTCACTATAAATAAGGCTTCAGAAGTTTATTGTTCTTAGGGGGATGAGATGAGAGTAGTTGGATGACTGCAGTAAAAAGAAAAATAAAAAAAAATAAAATATAAACCTCAAGTTTTTCTAAATATCAGTAGCTTGGGCTATGAAATGGAACATCTATTTAAAACCTTCCTTTCCCCATACATAGAATTAGAGGAACACTTGGCCAAATAGAGCCATGTATGACTTTTCACAGGATTTCCATTGCTGTGATGTAGTTCAGGCCACAGAGGATGTATATTGTTGTTTGGTAAAACCACTGGACTATTTCCAGGGTAGGATTATCCCAGCAACCTGATTCTGAATGCTAACAGGTGCCTGAGAAGGACAATGGGGATTTGAGCAGCACAAACCTATTTGTTTTCAAGAAGGTCATAGACAGATTTTTTTTCTTTCCTTTTTTTTATTTTTTTTTTTTTAATGGTAGAAAAGCGCAGGAATATGGGCTATCCAGGTGCTAGTTGCTATGGTAACCATACCACATCCTCCAAAACCTTTCCATTTAATTATATACATCACTGACTATCAAATGGAGTAAATTTCATTTTTTCTTTTAAACTCCAGATTGCAAAGTAAAAACTGGCATCTCCATTGCAGTTTTAAGCTTTCTGTTTTCATGGCCATTCTTGGGAAGAGAATTATTTTTTTTTATTTTTTTTTTTGCTGTTCCTATCAGTTTTATTGACAGTAAATTATTGTTTTGGGCTGTAGTGGCACACAGTTCAGGGTTAGAGGTTTGTCATTGTTTCTGTGTATTTATAGCCTAATTCTCCAGACTTCTCATGATATACATGATTTGTTCCCAACCTGCATGTTATTGGGGTTGTATTTCACCCTTGGAAATACCTGCATCGTGCTGAAATCCATGTCTACTTGAAGACTACATGAAAAACACCACCTGTATACAGAAAACTTTATATATTGCCATTGAAAACAAAGCCAAGATACTAAGTCAAAACTAAGATTGTACAATGGTTCAGATACACTTTCTCAGCTGCTTCTGTGCATGGGGGTGATTTAGGTGAATGGGTTTCAATAACCAGACTAATATGTACCCAGATAATTCAGATAATTCGTCTGCTCCTAAGCTGCCTTCAAGTACGTTGATCTAACAAAATAAGTAATGAGAAGTAGTCTCCATATGAGATGATAAGGGGTCTAGAGCATCTCTTTTATGAAGAAATACCGTGGGAGCTGGGCCTGTTTAGAGAAGACTGAGAAGGGATCTCATTAACGCACATAAATATCTCAAAAGTAGGAGCCACGAGGATGGTGTTAGACTCTTTCAGTGGTGCCCAGTGGCAGGATGAGGAGCAATGGCCATAAACTGAAACACAAGAACTTTCCCCTCAACATGAGGGAGAACTTCCTTATGTTGAGGTTGTCAGAGTGCTGGAATAGGCTGCCCAGGGAGGTTGTGGAGTTTCCCTCTCTGGAGACATTCAAAACCCACCTGGATGCATTCCTATGTGACCTGCTCTGTGTAGCCCTGCCTTGGCAGGGTGGGACTAGATGATCTCCAGAGGTCCCTTCATAATAATTCTGTGTGATTCTGTGTTATAGATATTATACCTTTGAGTTTGGTATAATTCTTTCTTCATTGTTCTGGTTACACATTGTCACAACATAACAAAATGAATATTTTAGTATAAAAATGAATATTTTCATATTGAAAAAAGAATCTAGGTCCCACACAAATTTGCTTTATGAAGTAAAACTGCAAATACTGTTGGGAGGTTTTCCAGGCAAAAAGTCGCATGTTAATAATTATTAGCTACAGAAGTATTACCATTGCAATAAAAACTGCATATTGCAAAAAATAGAGTTTTGGAAAGTAAGCAGTAGAATTGAGAGATATGTGAAGACATTTCATAAAGACAATCTTTCTGAAATCAATATACAGAATCCCCAAACAGCGGGAACCTTTAGCCAGGCAATAAATACAGTGTTTGGGCTTTACAGAATGACTTACACCTAAGCTGAATAATATTTTTAAAAACTAATGCATGATATTCTTTGTATCAGACAAATTTAGTATAAATACAACAATAATAAAAAAATAAGGACAGGAATTTAATGTTACAGTGTTAGTAATGCAACAAGACAAGTTTATCAAAATTAGAGATAATAAGGGTCTCTTGCCAGGAATTGGGCTATTGCTGTGATTAAATGGTTTGCTTTCTAGTGAAAATGTAAATTACATTAAAAAACAGTAAGTGCTCAAATATGTATGCCTGTACTATTTGTTAACCATTTTAAATCTTAGTAGTACTGAAAAACTAAAATTACTGTTACTGCTTTGGGTGTTAAGTACAAATTTTTTCATGTTAAGAAAGGAATTCCAAGAGAGTAAAAGCCCAGAAAAACTCTACCATCTGCCTGAATAAAAAGCTTCACCACCCTGAAAAAAACCCTAAGTCCTTGCACACTGATTAGAAGAGTGAATTCCAATCTGTGCTTTCGGTTTAGGAATTTGTGAAGGACAGACAGATGGTTCTAAACAATCCTCAGTCCAGGATGCCAGTAATGGCCATTTCAGATGTATTATGAAATTGGGATGGTTCACAATTTTACTTTTCTTTATTATCTACTTACAGACAGGGGAATTATTGAGTAATTTGTGAAGATGCTTTCTCTGTATGTATGGATTCTATATTATCTCCTAAAAACACTCAACAACTTGGGGGAGACGTATCTTCTTTTTTGAAACACCAGAGAAATGTACTGGAGGGGGGTTATTGTGCATCTTGCCAGTTTGTTGCATCTAGGTGACAGTGTATTTTGTATTTATTCCCACCTATTTGCTACACCCAAAATCTTATTGCAGGGAAAATAAGTACATATCATATACAAACAGATATTTTGTTGTTGTTATGTCTTAACAGATTGATGAAAGAATAATCATTAGTCTGCTTACAACTGTGTTAACTTATGATTCAAATTACATACAGTTAAGTCTAGTAAAGTCTAGTATCTCCATGTTTCCTTGGTGTTACTGCCGTCCTTCCACTGCATTTCAGGGTCCTATGGTCCAGGCTTTGGCTCAGGGCAGGGGAGGAGGATTAAAGTCATCGGTATCATAGTCCTTTTTCAGGAGAACTGTAATGTTGATCTACGTTTCCTTCCTCTTCACTTTTGGATCATTTTAGACATTTTATAATATGATCTATGCCTTGCTGCTTTTTCACTGGTTCACATTTTCACATTATTATGTATTCTACCTTTAAACTAAATCACAGAATCATTGAATCATAGAATAGTTAGGGTTGGAAAGGACCTTAAGATCATCTAGTTCCAACCCCCCTGCCATGGGCAGGGACACCTCACACTAAACCATCTAACTCAAGGTTTCGTCCAATTTGGTCTTGAGTACTGCCAGGGATGGAGCATTCACAGCCTCCCTGGGAAACCTAATCCAGTGCTTCACCACCCTCACAGGAAAGAATTTCCCCCTTATATCCAATCTAAACTTCCCCTGTTCAAGTTTGAACCCGTTACCCCTTGTACTATCACTACATTCCCTAATGAAAAATCCCTCCCCAGCACCCCTTTAGGCCCCCTTCAGATACTGGAAGGCTGCTATGAGGTCTCCACGCAGCCTTCTCTTCTCCAGGCTGAACAGCCCCAACTTTCTCAGCCTGTCTTCATACGGAAGGTGCTCCAGTCCCCTAATCATCCTCGTGGACCTTCTCTGGATGTGTTCCAACAGATCCATGTCCTTTTTATGTTGAGGACACCAGAACTGCACACAATACTCCAAGTGAGGTCTCACGAGAGGAGAGGGGCAGGATCACCTCCTTTGACCTGCTGGTCACTCTCCTTTTGATGCAGCCCAGGATACGGTTGGCTTTCTGGGCTGCAAGCACACACTGAAGCCAGCTCATGTTCATTTTCTCATCGACCAGCACCCCCAAGTCCTTCTCCGCAGGGCTGTTCTGAATCTCTTCTCTGCCCAACCTGTAGCTGTGCCTGGGATCACTCCGACCCAGGTGTAGGAGCTTGCACTTGTCATGGTTAAACTTCATGAGGTTGGCATCAGCCCACCTCACAAGCGTGTCAAGGTCCCTCTGGATGGCATTCCTTCCTTCCAGCATATCAACCGAACCACACAGCTTGGTGTCATCGGCAAACTTGCTGAGGGTGCACTCAATCTCACTGTCCATGTCAGTGACGAAGTTGTTAAACAAGACCGGTCCCAACACCAATCCCTGAGGGACACCACTCGTTACTGGTCTCCAGTTGGACGTTGTGCCATTGACCACAACTCTTTGTGTGTGGCTATCCAGCCTGCTCTTTATCCACCGAGTGGTCCTTCCATCAAATTGATGTCTCTCCGATATGTTTGTTGTTTGTTTTTATATCTTTAAGGCTGTTTTAACCCTGCTTACATTTTTGCATTCCTTTAATGACCATTAACTGAACATTGGTGAAATAGTTATAACCCTCTGGCCCCTGGTATCATCCTGTGCCTATAGTTTCAATCACCTGATATCAGGCCATGCCAGCATTTCTCTAATTTTCATTTTATTCTAGAATCATAAACAGTTCATTCTGCACTGCTTACTAATACACCATACAGTTCCCAAGCTAATATAAAGTA